ATCCCTTCCCACATCTGCTTGACGTTTCCCTCCAGGCCTCCGTTGGCCTTCTGCACTACTTCGTCCCAAATACACTTTTTCTTCTTTCTCACTAGTCCCTTCACCTGTTTTCTCTTGGCCCTGTACTTTTCCCAACTCTCCTCAGACGCCTCACTCAGGTACTGCTTGAAGACTTTTCTACGTTCCCCTATTTCTTCTTTCAGCTCGTCATCCCACCACTTAACCGATACCCCACATCGTACCACCTTCGTTCCCACTACTCTCTCTGCCGTTGCGGGGTGCTGTGGTTCGAAACACACGTGGCTCGGGGTACAGAAACAATCGTCCCAGAACTCCAGACCAGTAAAAGCTGTCTGTCGCTTTCAACAAAAAGCGGTGGCTCCCACGGATTCGAGACACTGCGGACGGCGGTAGCGGGTCGAAACTGTCAACGTCATTTTATTCTTACCGCTCACGATGGCCTCGACGACGCCTTGCGTCGCCACGGAATACATGACGGCTTCAGTGAATATCTGTTGCAGCTGGTGACAAAAAGGGAAGGGAGGAGGGGGAGGGGGCAGGCGCGAGTACTCATGGCGATTGATGAATGGCCGTGGTGTTTAAGGGGGCACTGGGGTTAGCAGCGTTTCCTCTTCAAAAATCCAGGAAACGCCTCCATTTCTCAGTTTTTCATAGAGTGTTGACTCCAGTACAAAACTTCCATTGCAAATCGACTGTCCGCTGACTCCCACTCGTGCACAATGTTAGTATCTGAGATTGTAGCCCTTGTGATGCACGACAGATTAGCGGTCCGCGATTTTCCAAACGATCCTTCTTCATGGAGATCGGTGAGCTTCAAAGCAGGATTATTAAGCTGCTGCACCGCAGTACCGATATTAATAGAGCACACCATGACGAGGCGTCGTGGGTACTGGCACGCTCAGGTTTGCTGGCTGGAGCTGAAATAGCGAGGGTGATATTCTAGTAGCGGCCTACAAGCTCCTCCGCAAACTAGTCCGACACTCAGTGTCTTGTACTGCTTGTGCTCGCTGCCACGGACCGCAAACCCCTGAAAGGCGCGTAGGTCAAGAGTAGCTAGTAGCTCACGACCGCCGTTCAGGGGTTTGCGGTCCGTGAGCCACTTCTGACGACCCGCCGTTCAGGGTTTGCCATCCGTGGCGGTGAGAACAAGCAGTACAGAACGGGCCCGTAACTAAGACAACATGTTCTAAGAAGAAAACGCTCCAATATTTACGAAAAATAAGAAAAAGGTCTAAGAAACACAGCTCAATCTCGGCCTCAACAGAACATGAGAAACGTCCCAGCGAAAATCATGATGTGCAATAACCCCAAGACATACGAACAAGGGGTAGCTGTGAGGATTGTGTCCAATAAGGAAGGCCCCACGCTCCCAGTCCCTACCTAGCTCATGTAATTATTTTTGGTAGGGGGTTAGAGTGGTTATTTTCGCGGTGCCCCCCGCGCCCCAGCGCCGCCGTGGGCTGCGCTACGTGCCCGCGCTGCTGCTGCCACGACCCACACCGAGCTGTCGGTTTGATGCTGCAGGAAGGCTTGGTGTGTTGTTTTCTTCGCCAGGAATAAGAAATCAAGAAAATAAGAACCGGCAGGATGCGACAGCCCAAACGAATAACAAATCCGTTATAAATTGGCCGCCTTCGGCTGGTCGTTCTGCCCAAATAAGCAGAAATTGAGGCTCGATCCGATTTTGACGTGTCTTATCTCCGGGTGTCGGTCTAATTTGCGGAGATGTGCAGAGATTATTGGCCGCTGCTAGAATACGACCCTCGATATTTCAGCTACAGAAGCAAACCTGAGCGTGCCAGCACACACGACGCCTCGTCATGGTGTGCTCTAGTGATGTCAGTTCTACGGTGCAATTGGAATGACACACCGACCGTATTTGAGCGCCTGCTGTTTTGGCTCTATTGACTTGAATTTAGAACAGTGTGATTGTTGTCTTGATTTCAAAGGAGACGTGTGGAGGTAGACTCATGATATGTATGATTTGGGCAGCCCCTACAATACTGCCGCGCTGTGCGAGAATGAGCGACTTCTGTTTTTCGTGTGGCGATGCCTTCCGACTGGTTTTATGTGTCTCGGGTGCACGATCTGGTGCTCTTCGTTTTTTTTTCAAAATCAGTCAACATCAATAAAGGTTGGGATCCCTCCCTTACAGCCTAATAGAGGATGCTGAGGAGGGCGAAGCAAACGAACAAAAACGGAAAACCGGAGGGGGGCTTAACACTGCCGCCAACGTTTCAAAAGGGAAGTGGGGGACACTGAGTAAACAGCACCTAGTCTACGGCAGCAGGCAACACACCTCGGGGTCAGACGAGGGCTCCTCCCCGGACTCCTTCACCAGCTGCAGCACCCGCGGGGCGTGCTTGCCCCACAGCTCCCGCCGCTCCACCGTGTCCGAAGTGGCCGCCTTGCCGCCGTCCGCGACGATCAAGCCGTTCCCGGCCGTCGAGCATCGTATCCAGGAGAGGAGGGCCCCCGCCGCCGACCGAGACAGAGTAGCAACAGACGCCTTTGTCGGCGGCGGTCCATCGTGAGATGCAGCGGCGGCGGCGGTCAGCTCTGCGTCCAACAGGCGGTAGGCATGTTGCGCGGCGGCCGTGTCGCTCTCGCCGCGCGATGCCATGGCCTCGGCCGCTTCTTTTTCGGCTGTTTTGCTGCTGCCTTCGGCAGGCATTGGTAAGGGTGCGGCAAGTGGTATCGCCGCTGCTGCTGCCGCTGCTACTGCAGGCGTCGCGACTGTTGTGTCTGTCGCGGCGACGCACGAAGGAACGAATGACAAACTCAAGCGACGCGTACAAGAGGATGAGCTGCAAGGAATATGTAGCCCATGTTCATTCGAATATCGCGCACAAACGCAAGCAACGCAAAAGTATCACCCAAGACTGCTGTTGAAGAAGCTCCAAGCGAGTAAGCGGTGGTGTGGTTGACGCATAAATGCATCATACCAACCTGGTTGTGCCAAACCTTGACCCCAGGACGTGGCAAGTATGTACACAGGTGATCGGCCAGATGTGGAGGTTGTAGTGGTGGGTCAAACACCGATCACCGACCGCCGACCACAAACTTGGGGAAGGCTGCGGGAGATCGTAAAGGCAGGCTTGGCCTGAAAAGAGAAGTATGGTGTAGGCTCCACTTGGCCTCCAAGCTTGAACAACAGTGATATCCGGGATCGGACCCCTCTCCATTCTGATTATCTGGTCTTCTAAGGATCCATGCTGCCGTAGTTCAAATAATGGATTAGTCGCAAGGATACACGCATGAGTTCGAATTCCAGCTGGACCGCTTGTTCTCCCGGGGTAGTTGTTAGTGGATTAGTCATTCTTAAGACAAGGATACACGCATGGGTTTGAATGCCAGCTGCTTCACTTGTAGAAACACCATTTGATTCTTCATCATCAGCATGGCGAGGGGTCCGTCCCCGGAGATCACTGAAGAAGATGACGGTGGTGACGGACGCGGAGGCCCTGTGGGCCATGCTCTACGCTGACGACGCGGCCATCGTCTCGCGCTCCACGGAGAGTCTCGAGCAGATGATGTCGGTCATCGTGCGCGTGGCCGGCCTGTTCGGACTGATGGTATCGGAGCCAAAGACGGAGATCATGTGCATGCTGCCGAAAGGGATCGAGGAACGCCCGTTCACGGTCAGCGCCGCCGGCCAGACGCACAAACAGACAGATCGGTTTGTGTACCTCGGACGTACCATCTCCACGGACGGGAAGGCCGACCGGGACATCACGAGCCGCAGCTGCCGAGCGTGGAAGTGCTACCGCCGGAACAGTGCTTCGATGTACGACAGGCGACGGGCCGACCGCCAGCTCAAGATCCGGCTACTCCAGGCTGAAGTGGTGGAGACTCTCCTACATGGGTGCGCCTCGGGGAGCCTAACAGCNTCTCGTGGCGTTCAATATGGGAGACGAAAAGGAAGGGGGGAAATGGAAAGAGAGCGCCAAGGACCCGGAGGTGTGGTACAACAAGGTCGAGGACGGGGCGGCATGGTTCATGAGGAAATGGCACAGGCAGGAGGCGGAAGCGTNGAGGACGGGGTGGCATGGCTCATGAGGAAATGGCACAGGCAGGAGGTGGAAGCGTCCGCGAAGCGCCAGCGCGCGAGGGAAGCAGAAGCAGAGAGTGCGGCCATCTTAGGACCGAAAAGAAAGAGAGTCGGGGAAGCGGCGGTGCGGGGGAAGAAACGGCGTCGTATGTAACGGGTTTTGAGACCACGGGCTCTTCATCTTTTGTGGACTATAGAGCTAATGTGACAAACAACAACAACAACAACAACAACAAACTGCTGCTGTTGTTGTTCTAGATAGGAGGCCAAGGTGAGCCTTAAAAACTAAGCAGTCTAATGTTTACGCCTTCATCTAACACATTCAACGGGGCAAACGAAACGGATAACGCAGCCCACCAAGACGGCCGGGTTTTGCACCCTCTGCTCCTGCCCTCCCTTCTCTTTGTCTCCTCTGCGTCTGTCTATTGTATTAGTCGCTCTCGCTCTCCCTCTCTCTTTCTCTCTCTCTCTCTCTCTCTCTCTCTCTCTCTCTCTGTGTGTGTGTGTTGGTCTGTACGATGCATGTAGATGCGATGAACGGCGGGGTACAAAACAACAAAAAAATCAAATCTTGACAACGGAGAGAAAGAAAAATACAGCCGCGCCTTGTCGTCTCTGTTACCTTGAATATCGTCATGTAGTAACAACCTTGTCCCACTGGTGAATGGTATGCGAATGGGATGTTCAAACCAAAGGGGGGTGTTGATTCCTCGGTCGTCTGTGTGTGCAGACGACCTCTCCCCAGCAGCGGTTGTGGGGACCGTGAGGATACTACTAGACAGGATAGTTCTCTTTGATAGGAAGGGGCGACTTATCTCTTCGGGCTGTAGAGGGGTCAAGAGAAAACAACGGATGACAACCAACCAACAGACCAGGCAAGAATGAAACAGTGAGAAGCGGAAGTGACCGGCAGAGGGGCGAATAAGGTTATGCACAGCACAGCGCCAACGCAGAGGACATGGCGTGGGCGCACACCATGCTGACCTGGCACGCTCACTTTGCGAACGACAGCTGGCAGACGCAGCAGCTGACAAGATAGCTGCGGAGAACCCGCACACAGCAGTGACATACATTTGCGTGCGTACCGTGATGATCCGCAGCTGTGCGGAGGAACAGGCAGTTGCAGGTGTTTTTTCTCCTCAAGTTGTAAGTAAGGAGCTACAATAGTATATATACCACAGCAGTGGCGCAGACGATCCGGATTGCGAGATGCTCCACTCGTCCTCCTGGTAGAATTTTTTTGTCCTTACAAAACCTTCTACAACTTCGTGCTCTCTCAACCGCGAACGACAAATCGAACACGAGGAACAACAACTAACTGCTGTGAATGTGAATCACCTTCCTATTAGTTGGGGTGAGACGTACCCTGATCGCTCGCAACGAGCCCCCTTGGTGCCAGAGAAAAGTCATCGCCGGCAGAAGTATCGACAGCCTGTCCTTCGATGCCGTCGTCTAAAGTTTCCGTTGGGGCGGCGAGGCTTCCGGTTTGCTCGCTGGTCGTTCCATCTGTGACGTTTGTGCTGCCATCCCCAACATTGCTACTACTGCTGCTCGCGCTCCAAGGATCGGCCGCATCGTTCCGGAGAGAGGCGAACTGCTCCCGCCACGACCCCTGTTCTTCTTCTCCGCCACCATTGGTGGATTGTAGCGCCGTCGTCGTTGTGGTCGTTGCCACCGGTGTTGAAGTCGCGAAAGGAGGTCTACACCTCCTGCGATTGGCTGATGTACTCGTACGCTGAGGGTCCGCTCCTCCTCGGCGCGCACTTACGTCGCGGGACGTCGTCTGCTGCTGTCTCCATTGGGGTCGCGTCACGACAGGTATAACCCAGGCAGCGGAGTGTGTTCCATGGAGAGCAACAAAAGTGGGCAGAGTGAAGAACAAGAGCGAGGCCCGCGACTTCTGGCACCGTGACTGATGCAGTAGTGGTGAGGTTTGCAGCAGCGATACCCTATGAACATCATGTGTCTTTGTCATTCCGCTCGACACGCACGTTGCAGGCACCAGACAGAGTTCCTCGCGATCAGGACAAAAGATGAGAGACAGCAATGCGTCGCGCGCTTGGACTACAGGTGTTGCCAAATGTACGACGACAAGCCACGCCAACAAGACGCTTGAACGGAGAAGAGAGAAGGGACTGTCAACAGTCAACCGACAGTTGCGTGAAGGGGGGTCCGCAATATGGGATCCACGTGCTACCCATCATTGTTGTGCTGGGTCCCGTTGTCCTCGTGTCAGCTCGTGTGCTTGTTCCTTGTTCCTCGTTCCTCATGTGTTTGTTGTTTTGGGGCTTGCACAGATCATGCACATGATGTTGTCGATGTCGGGCCTGCCACCCACTGGGGGGCGCTTGTACACAACAGTATGTGATGACAGAAACACCGGCCGAAATACCTTCATGTACGCCGGTCCTATTTATCCTCTCATGATGTACATGTAGCCGAGTATCCTCCGTCATGTAGAGGGTACATTGTGCTGCACGACTGAAAAAAAAAGAATAGTGAAAAAAAAGCTTCCAACGGGAAAGCAGCCCCCTGTGGAAACCCCTCTGATCAGGCGGCTCGCGGCGCAACGGACCTCCACACCCAGCACCGGCTCTAGACGGCGAACCAGAGGCTAAACTGCCCAGACAACACGAGGGTTATGTCAATACGATGCAAGGGCACAGCAGGGTATGTTTTATACGCCCAGATACACATGGGGGTGAGAAATTTAGACTTTAGCTAGGGCGTACCGCCCTGCGGCAGCTCCAAAATCCGCGAGGAAGCTTCGCATGCGAGCCGACCTCTGCGCAAGGTTGACGTCTTGCAGCCTAATTATGCTGCCGACATATATCCAGGTCTCATTGCCACCTAATTCAAAATGTTTGGGGCGATTTAGTGTGGTAGATAATAAGCATGGTGTGTTCAAAATTCAAACTTCAGGAGAGCCCACCCCGGGGGGTTCGAACGCACGCGCTTGCATGTTGCGCATGTACATCCACTGGATACACGACCCCCATCCAAAGATACTATGGAAATGCCCGATACAGTCCGGCCGCCACAACAATTTATAGGAAATCTGGACTTCGAGAGGGCAAGTACGTCTGTCTTGAAGTTAAACTTAGACTCGGTGCTTTGTCATGGTACGAGTCAAACATGACCCGGGGCGCTCAGCTACGTACACTCCAGACCGTGCATAGGTCTATACAGCAGTAGATTGAAACGCCGCAGAAATGTCGAGTCGGATATATATAGTACGTNAATAGGAAATCTGGACTTCGAGAGGGCAAGTACGTCTGTCTTGAAGTTAAACTTAGACTCGGTGCTTTGTCATGGTACGAGTCAAACATGACCCGGGGCGCTCAGCTACGTACACTCCAGACCGTGCATAGGTCTATACAGCAGTAGATTGAAACGCCGCAGAAATGTCGAGTCGGATATATATAGTACGTAGATCGACAGCTTCCAGTCCGTCATGCTCTAAGGTACATAAGTATGCCCAATCAGAGGATCATATGTTATGCATGGCTGTCAAGAGACAACGAAGCGCGCCCACAGACATAGTATAGGTGTGCGCCTGCGTAGGCTGTACGTGTCACGTGACATTTTGATTTTTTTTTGTCGTATACCATGGCCAGGTATTTAATGCATGGGATAACGGCCGGCATAGGCCGTGCTGACAGATGACCCGTCGGAGAGTTAGGCGGGGCACCCGGGCTGGTGGGGCTAAAAACCCCACAGGTCAACCGGCTACGCCACCGGCTACGCCTCGGAACCAGCCTGGGAGCTCTGTTACACCCGGAAGCGGGGGTATGCAGCCAGCATGGGACCTTCGCCAGCTTACGGAAGGCACGCTAACCCCGCGTACTCCAGTGGTCGGCAACTCAGGGGGAGACGTAACAAGTGAACGTCCACGGATCGGGAGCAGGAGAGACGGCAACCTAACCACTGAGGTGCGCACCTCCCCCGCCGCGACAAAGCGCGACGCGAGAGATTCCGGTGCACGCGTCCGTNCCAGCTTACGGAAGGCACGCTAACCCCGCGTACTCCAGTGGTCGGCAACTCAGGGGGAGACGTAACAAGTGAACGTCCACGGATCGGGAGCAGGAGAGACGGCAACCTAACCACTGAGGTGCGCACCTCCCCCGCCGCGACAAAGCGCGACGCGAGAGATTCCGGTGCACGCGTCCGTCGGACGGGAGGAAAATCCCGGTCGGGCAGGAAGCGCAGGAAGAGGCTCTCTGTTGGTGTCACGGGTGGTGGCCTACCCAATCTTGAGAGCAAGCTCGAGGAGGAGGATTACTACAGACAGCAGGGCTAGGCGAGGAGGGAGGCATCCGCCCGTAAAGCTCTCGCGATCGCCGAAGACGAACGGCGAAAAGCAGAGTCCGCGGGGAATCACCCCGTTCATCCTCGGCGTAGGAGTCACGGCGGGAACCCAAGACAAGCCGGTTGTCAGCCTGGAAAGCGGAATGCGGGTAGGAGACTTTCTGCCCCAGCGGTGCTCTCTGTACGCCAACCAACAAGCAAGAAGTGAAGAAGGCGTGCGAGCGTATGGAATGCGGATGGGTTACAGACCACCCTGGCACCGAGTGTAGCAAATGCCGATCATTCAGCTGGTGTAGATGCGGAGGGCGTAGGCCTTGAGATAGGAGGGGTAGGTGCCACGGAGGCGCTTTCCGGAACCGAACCACTCCATCACTTTCGGAACGGAAACGACCCTACCCCTGGCATCGAGCGGCAGTGAGGGCCACACATCGGCGAGGCGGAGCTCTCCGTGATACACTTCATCGTTTGGGCAAAGAAGTACTGGGGAAAAAGCTTCGACAAGTGGATCGTTTCATCGGTAGACACGCACCTATGGATTATCATTCTACTGGCGATGACCGCTGGTTGGCTGCGGCCTCGTGGCGAGGGGGCGGTTGAAGTGACCGTCCAGAAGGTCGTGGGTGGCAAGACCAAGTTCCTGTGGATGAACAGAGTATTCGCCAGCATCTACGAACTCCAGGATGGAAGAAGCGAGTCCGCGTGGCCGCTATTGACCTTCAGGGGCTGGATTCCCACTGACAACGACAAGGTCCGTCTGTTCGTCTTAATGTTCCTGGAGTCGGGCTGTGACTACCTCCCGGCAAATTCCGGGCTGCCGTTCGACAAGATTTGGGTACTGGCGCTCAAGAGCGTGCGGACGCAGGGTTTGTTTCACAAGCCGCTGTTCTTCGAGGAGCAGGATGGCACGTGGGCCGTGCATGTCGACGAATGCGCGAAGATTTTGGCGACCATGTTCATCTACAATGATGAAGCGGCGTTTGGCACTGCTCTTTTGACTCCAGCCCAGCTCGTCGAAAGCGTTGACGGCGACATCGAGGGCTACGTGGACGTGATCCGCTACGCCATCCTTCAACTCCCCAAGAAGAAGACGACACCCACCTGTCCATTTTTTTTTTTCCTTGCGCAAGCAGGCAGAACGAGGTAACGCCATCTTCCGGTACTGGCAGAATGGCCTGAGGGAGACCATGCCGGCGACAGAGCTTGCCGACAAAGGGTGGAGCGGCGACCCACGAGGAAAGGGGAGCGACGGCGACGAACTCACAAAGGAGAACTGTGTGCTTGACCTGTCCGAGTATGCTTACATCGCCCCTGACCGAAAAACAGTCACGCTTGCGTGTGGTTGCAATCCGGACACGGTCCTGTGCAATAGGAACAGGTGCAAGAACAAGAAGTGCTCGCTCGCTTGCGGCTACAGAAATCGTTGCACCCTACGGCGGGCGGCGCCGGCACCCTTGCGTGAAGGGGGGGGGTCTGCGCACGGCCTACAGTGGGTGCTTCTCAAACTAGGGGGGTAGAGGGTATCTCCCGACCCCAACCACCCATCGAGAGTCGACCACGGCCATCCTACAGTGTTGCCAATGCCATGGCACCCTTGCCGCCTCTATGAGGCAGCAGGAATCGCATGGAGCGGAACAGAACGACGTGGAGGCGGGGACCCCCGAGTCACCTGCGAGCAAGGACGTTTCCGCCGGCGAGGCCGCGGAATCTAAGAGCGCAGAGTTAGAGGACCCCGAGTCGGGAGAGAGCGGCGACGGTTTGGTCGGTGCACTCGACGATTTGATCAGGTTGGATTCGAGCGAATCTGGCTCCAGCGATGGGGAAACTGACGGGGTGAGCGAGAGGAGCGTTGACTCCAACTGGAGTGACGGAGACACAGATGATGGTGTTGCGGATATCGTAACCGATGCCTGCAACTGAGATCTGGCTACTTCTTCAGGTAGGTACATATATCGTTCCTTGGGATTGGGGTTGGGGATGTCGTGCCCGGCATTATTGCACGTCAGATCTCCACGTCGTACCGAAAGATCGTGTGGTCTGATTTATTCTAACTCCATGTTTCCACGCGTCCTTGTTGGTGGTTGAACAGGTCCGTTCGTGCTTCACTTCCGTTGGATGCATCCGTCCACGAAATACGACGACCCCGGGGTACGAGATATCAGACGGACGAACAGCGCGCGCGTTTTCTCCCCTGTATTTCCCTACCCAGTTGCGCAGGGAGGTGAACGGAGGGGATTATTTTTCGGCCGCGCTGGGTGTCCGTTGTTTATTGGCATAGTATTTAGTTAGTCGCAAATTGCCTGAAAGGTACGGGGGTGTTGTGTGCGTTCCGGGCCTGCCTGTGTCGTTTATACTGACTGTAAAGAAGGTGTTTGTTGTTTCCTTCAGTTCGGGCATGATGTTGATAGGTGTGGGCAACCCGGGGGGGCAGTCTTGTGTGCGGTGTTCGTATGTAAGTTTTTCCTCGCGTTTTCGACACACCCAATGCTCAGTGCGTACAACGTATTAGTATGCTTTGAGAAAAAATACTTCAACAATTACAATGTGTACATATTGCCGGCCGTGCCTGTCTGCGTGCGACGCCAGATAGCACAAGGTTATCAGTGATCAAATTCCCTGTTAGTGTAGCTGCCGTGATTTTGTCGCTACTCCATCCTCTCATAGTTTTTTTCTCCGGGATTCCGGAGAGTTGTACTGCTGGGTGAGGGCCCCGAGTCAACAGGCACAAGTCAGAAGTGTGTGCAGTGCAACACCGCAGCAGGAGAGGGGGGCACCCCAACAGCAATTCAGTTCAAATCTAGCTGACGTCATTCAAGAGTACTCCGCGTGTGGTACGTCTTGCAGCACAATTCCAAGTGCTGTACAACCGCAAGATCAGCAGCTAACATTACCAATGCTTGGTGCGTGGCAGAAAATATGCATGGTGCCTGTATGATAATGCAAGTTTTCAACTTCATCTCTTGATTCCCGCCACCAATCAAGCTCAACCCTTCTGCAATATACTCTTTGGTGCTCAGTCCATCTTCCCTCAAAAGTTGTCGGCGATTGATGCTGTAGTGGGCGCGTTCTTGTGCTTGGTCGCCTTGGCGGGTGCACAGCAGGGTGGTTGCGCCGCGTAGATACGAGTCTCGCATTGTTTTAGGGGAGGGGCTGCGTGTTGCGCCGACAAGTTTGAAGCCTGCAGTGGACGGAAGTTGGCAAATCTTGGTTCCCCAGATAGCTACTGGAATAGTCTACTGCTATCTAGGGTGGATGTACGCCGGTCGCGCTGCTCTTCTGTGTAAAACGATAACTTTTGTTCCTCCGCCATCTTTTTTTTTTTCAGACGTGCAGCCCTGCACGTGAAAACAAATTCAAGACACGTTGGCCTACTAAATAATCGAAAATCGGGGTCATTTGAACAACGTCGTTGCCAAGCGATGAAAACCCAACCCCGATGGCAAACACCGTGGGGGGGCAGGGGGCCGACCCGCATCCTATCAACAATAAGATGTACCCTATTCATGCTAGACATATAACACAGGAACGTCGTAGAGATTCACACAAGATGACGACTCAGGGGCGCTACTGTAATGAAGGCGTCGCCCGAAGGTGGCGATGATGGAGACGAAGCAGAACGAAGTGTGGGTGACGGCGAAAATCCATGGGAGAAGGCGACGCCAAGGGATGGAATACCGAAGCACCAAGCGTATGCAACCTTCTGCGGCACGATGGAACTAAAGCAAAAAAAACTAAGACTACATTAGTTGGCAAACAAGCGAACCAGGAAAACGCGAGGAACTCGGTTTCCAAGTGTTCCGAGGCAAACATCACCGACGAAACTTGGGGAACTCTTTTTCCAAGTGTTCAGAGGCAGACAACACCGACGAAACTCCGGAGGGAGCTTGTCGAGAGAACCAAAGCCCAACAAAAACAAAAACAAAAATTAAGCAAAGGCGAGAGAGAACGGACAACCAGGTCGCGGCAGTTCACTGATTCAGATGAATGCAGGCACAAGGAAGAAGGATCACTCGACACTGCGTGTCTTGAGGCGGCGTTGCCCCAGCATCCAAAACAAAAAATAAGCCAACAAAAGAAAAGAGACAAGACAGAAAAGCAAAACAAAACAAAATAAAACAAAACGGAAGGTGACAGAGGAAAAACGAAATCAAAAGCAAAATGTCGGCGAGAAGGATGGCACAAAAGACCAAAATAGGCCGATTGGTATATGAAAACGACGACGCTAAGAGGAAATGGTGGGAACAGTCGACGGTAAGGAGTCAGCAAGGAGCGGAGTGCGACCACGGTTGTCGCCCAGAGGGCGCGAACGATGTTTCTCTAAACACCATGATCCACAGACGGCGTCCAAGGCGGTGCAGTAGAGATCCGCAGGCAGAGGGAGAACGCTTAGGCCCGGGTCATCCAAAAATCGAATGATGTACGAGCCGCCCTGATGAGCACCAATACGTCCGGTCCACCACAATCCATCACGGGCCTTGTACCACAGCCGCGCGCCAACAGGGAGGGGCGAAGTGCTGAAACGACGAAGCCAAGTCGCGTTAAGCACAAGTTCAGCCCCAGGAGGCAAATAGCGTTCTCCACGATTCCGGGCTAGCTCCCCCTGTGCCGCGCGAGTCCGAGCCACTCGATATGT